TTGAACCAACAACCTTCTGATTGGGGGACGACCCGCTCTGCCTCTGAGCCACAGCCGCCCGAGTAGCTTGCAAAAGGATACTTTCAGCGTAGGTTCATCAACAGTATTGGCCCCAGCATTAATTATTGCTGTCAATGCTTCAGAATGGTAGAACAGCGAGGCTATGGTTTTAAATTAGAGTAATTTGTAGGACATATGAAGATATACATATCTGATCTGAATTTTGAGGAACAGCACAATCATATTTGTCACATAACAGTCTAATTAATTTACAAAAAAACAAACACACTGATATACTATGCCAGGCTTGGAAAAGTCCTGTATTTGTGTTAATCAGTGGAGAATTAGAATCTGGTAGGCTTACCTACCAGACAACATGTAACATCACCAAGCAGGCTGTCTTTTAATGTAAGCAGTAGCACACAGCTGGCAAATACCTTTGATAGAATTATTTAAATCCTATCCCTCAGTTACACCAGTGTTCACGTGCTTCCGCAACTGAAGGCATTCCAAACCAGATTTTTTTTTCTCCATATACTATTAATGCCATCTTTAAAGCGATAATATTTAAGAAATTTGCATTAAAAAAAAACTCTATAAACACTAGAGCTATTTTTTTTCTCCCTTGAGTTGTGTACTTACAGTATCCCAAATGTTTCTAACAATGTTCAAACCCAGAGAAATCCCTAATTTTATTCAGCCTGTCAATGATACCATATCCCCTTTGCGCGTGTATCAGCTTGTTGTCTGCCGGAAGCTGTCATGGATTGATTTCTTTATGTAGTTTTTGTTCGATATACTTTTTAGATCTGGGTTGTTTTCAATTATATAGTTTAACCGGATAAAGGATTTTAATAATTAGACTGGATCTTAACTTATCAGACAAACAAGCTAACATTAGCAGCAGCTCTGCTCTCTTCTGGGACGTCAACAAACTTTGTCTGTTGTTTTGATGTGAGAGACCCCCTAGCAGCAGAAATTACAGACTGCATGTTTAACACTGACTTATCACAGATATACTGTGTATGTTAGCCCACGTGCAAAGAAAATGTAATACATAAAGGCTGCATTGGTAGGTATGTTTAACCCATATTTTTCTAAAATCAAGTATACTACATTTTGTTCTATTTGTGTATTTTTATATCACAACTTATTTTCTAGTTACATTTTTTTGTTGAAATTTTGCTGATATATTGTGAGTAGATGTTGTTAAACTCTCAAATATCAGTATTGTTCAAGCTTTATTGTTCAGCTCAGAATTGATGTACTGCGATGGAAAACTTACTTTACTATCCCAGTAAGAAGAAACCATGAACACTTGAATACTCACTTGCTAACTTCCTTATATTGTGCAATCTCCTCTATGTAGAGCAGGTCATGCAGCCGGGCCTGGTAGTTGTCTTTGGTCAAAGTCTTGTCCAGGACTGACTGGGTGAAGAGCTGGTCAGCTGACAGAGGAATCTGATAGCGGGAAAGTAGGCTGCGCTCCAACTCTGCCATCGTTTCATTAGGAGTGAATTCTACAATGGTCTTACAGGAAGAGTCCCAGCGCTTTGCAGTCATCAAGAGCTGCTGCCTAGCTGCCATCAGGTGCTCTAGGTCTGAGAACAAAAAAGAGTGTGGTTGAAACGATTCATTACTGTAAGTGCTGATAAAATAACCATCTTCCTAATATTTAAAAACCTAAAACACTACAAAATATAACAAAAAGCATACCCATCCAAATATGATTAGAAAACAATCTATAATGTGACACTAATGTTAAACAGTGTAATAGATGCCTGAATAGATTCATTCATTACACTGATGTAACTTGTGAAAGACCTCAGGATGACCTTCTTGCAATTAGCATACCTTCAATGGAGGCAGCATCCACCATGATTCGCTGCATCAGCACAGGTTCTGAGCCAAAGTCAAAAACAACAGTCTGTCGGAAGGTACCGAAGATTTCTGTGCTGAAGCCCACTGCTACCTTGTAGAGACAGTGGTCAAGGCCATTGTCTGCTGCCACTGTCAAAATAGCAACAAACAAAGTTTAATAGAACAGAATCAACTTTATTGTCACACATTCATACACAGTACAACATATAGTGAAATTTGTCTAAATCTTATTTAAATACATTTAACAATAGAAAAAAAAACAAAAGAGAGATGTAACTTTAACTGTAATTAAGATGAAAGGAAACTAAGGAATAACACTGGTTGCATTTTACACTTGTCTGCAAATGTGAAGGAAAAAAAAAAAGAGGCATAGGGCCAATACATTACTAAATACAAAAAAAAACATGTCGGATGTCAAAATGTGAAAATTAACCTGTCCAGTAATTAACTTTTACATTATTTGAGATCCCTTTGTCTGGGGTCTGCAGCTATTGTGGACAGTACAAAATATGGCCAAAGTAAAACAAGTCTGTCCAGCACAAAAAGAAAGAGCTCAAAACAGAATCACAAAAACTATTCCAGCTAGTCAATAAATATGAATATATGACATACCTGCTGTCTCCTCTCCTGGGGTCCACTCTTGGCAGCCTTTGGGGAGGGCTTGTAGCCGCTCCCCAGCTGACACGCCTGTGATGAAAAAGTGTGGTCTGTGGGCATCATAGAGCAGGGCGATGCGGTACAGCTTTCTAGCAGGCTAGAAGGAGACAGAGATAAGAAGATAATCAGGACATTCACATAATCAAAAGATGATTTGAACCAGTGCAGAGTACTGCCTTATTTTTCAGTGTCATACTGATCTGGTTAGACAAAGAAAGCGTTTGAATATGTACACATGATCGGTATTTAACATTTCATCCTACCTTGCACAACAAGGAGAAGGTCCAGGAGTGGGAGGACTTTTTGGTGGTGACGGTGACAGAGAGGCCGGAGCTGGTTTCTACATTCACTCCTTCTAAGTAGTCACTTAGCTAGAGAAACAAAAACCAACATGTTTAGACACAATGTATTGCTGCAAATGTATTTAGAAATAGTACTAGTAGTAGTAGTCTGTCAGAAACTGGTGAAACATAAGTTCACTGCTACACAAAATATAAATGAATGCAACCTTTGAAGAAGTTAACCTGTGTCAAATACTGTATGCTACAAAACAGAGCCAGCTACAATATAAGGCTCTAGATTAACTTTGCGCGTCAGAGTAAAACACAGCACGCATCTGTCTTGGTTAGTCAATGTTTGATGTGTGCACACAAAAGTTGCGTTGTACATGGGTGTTGGTACTGCCCCCATATAAATAAAATAATTAAGTCAGAACACAGTATTATACGCACATTTGTGTTTGGCCGGCACTATATTTTGGCTGTGTTCTGTCTATGGAGCCACTTTTGACATTGTATGCACTAACCACTTTCTCTGGGGAGAGCGAGTTCATCCACTTCTCGATCAGAGTCTCCATGTAGTTCTCGGTGAAGTGTTTGCTCTCCTGCTGCTGTTTGAGGCGGATGAGGCGTGACGCATAGCGCTTCTGCCATTCCATCAGCTCCTCCTGGGAGTGGGCTGACGTACACTGGGCCCCGTACCGACACAGACCCTGCTCCAAGTACCTGCAGCAAAGACAAACTGTGTGCTGAACTGGTGCTAAAAAAAAGTAGCCAATAAATCGATTATTCAATAAAAATAAAAAAAATCGATGACGAACTCAAATAATTGTTTTACATCATAAAATCACCAAGGATACCCCAAATTTGCTGCATTTCTTTGTTTCATACTATAGTAAATTTAGAAAAGGCAAAGACAAGCTTGACATAGCAGCACACCAACAGATCCGTCTAACCCAGGTAGCAGTAAATTATGCTGGCAGTGCTGCAGTGTGACATATACTAAGGGCTATGAGAGACAACTCAAGCTCAAAGAAACTTTAGGTCAGAAAAAGTTCACAGGATTAAGTGTAAGGCTAGTCAGATTTGTTGGTATCCTTCTACACAAATATGCAGGATGTATACTAAAGTTTGTAAAGAGATTCCTTCAGTGTGAAGAGAGATACACTTTACATTTCTGGCAGTTATCTACTGTGATTCACAATTCTATATCCTTCAGTGGAACTGCATACAAAAAGCTGAAAGCTGTATTAGTCACTTCACAATATGCCTGTTGTTGATATCTTTCACACCTAGAACATGGATATGGATTCATAATTTTCCACTGCAATATTCTAGATGAAAACAAAATGTTTCATTACTCAAACCTGTGTACAAACAGTTTACACTACCTTTTACAGAGGGTGTACTCCTCACTGCTGGTGACTCCTCGGGGAGGAGGCCGGAACTGCCAGCCATCTTGGACCTCTGTCAATACACACAGCCAAGTGGTCAATAGGACATTGAGCCAAAGCCTTCAAAAACATTATAAGATGGGCTTCAGCCAGCTTGTAACGCTCAAGCTGTCAACTGGCTGAGTAAAGACTTTTTTATACATAAATAATAGCCAAAGCACTTTAATACATGTGGATTTTTGGTACCAAACACACTGTCATCCCTTTTTTTTTTTTTTTTTGAAGCTGAAAGAAGAATTGAAAACGAGTCATGTTACAGATTTGCTCACCTTCCTCCTGGTCATCTGTGTATTCTGGTGCCATCTCCCTATTTATAGCCTGACAGAGACAAAGATTGGGTGGGGTGGGGGGCAGAAAGTTTATTACTATTATGTCAACTACTAACATAGCCATACAAGTAGTTGATCACAGGACTTAATGCAGACAAATGAGTAATAAATCCACAACAGCTACCAGCTAGGCAGAGGAGCACAGAATAATTACGTTAGTGTTGGAATTAGGCCATTAGTCATCTTTATGACTCTCACCTGCGAGCATTAAACACCAAAAAGCATGAAGGAAAAGAGGACAGAAAGCACAACAGTAAGGTTTGCAGCCCTGAAACTAGAGGCACTTACCTCGATTTCTGAGAAAAGCATTTTTAATCTGGTCAGGTCTTTTGCAACAATGCCATTCTGTGAAAGAAGGAAAACAGAGCTTCATTACAACAACATACTGCAATTAGTGCTCTCAGGACAGTTTATCATAACTATAAAATTCACTGCTTCTGAATAAACTAGCACATTTTTCTTGGAATCAAATTTGTCATGCCATTTCCAAATATCTACAGGCAAGATTTAAATCCATAACTATCCCAAAAGCTGCACTGCACAAGTGTGAATGTTTGCAGCTCCAAACTGTGAGAGATGTTGAAACAATACCTTTTGGGTCATGCATTATCTAGATGGAGTGCTTACAGTTTATAATGTGTGTTTATGTGTTTAATTTGTCACGTCAGTGGGTGGATTTCCTGCCAATAATTATACCTGACACCAGAAATTAATTGGGATGCACGATATAGATTTTTTTCCATAACAACTTAATTAATAAGATAATTGTCAGCTCTGACAGTTATCAAGCATCCTTTCTTAAAAGGTGTCCTTGGTGATTAGTAAGGCATTTTGCAGGGGCATTTTATGATTCCAACTTCATACCAGTGTTTTCTTCCTTAAGATCAAGGCTTTAGTTAAGAAAAGGCCATAATAAAGATGTTTAGCTGTCCTCTGACACTTAGGCCTAGCCAACAGCATTGTCCCCACTTGCATAAAATGTTGGATAACCTTGGGGCCAAACTTAACCTTTGAATGCATGCTGTTTCTGTGTTTGAGTCAGTGTGTGTGTGTCTGTGTGTTTCAGTGGCCAGGAAGTGGTTGCAAACAGGAGAAGACCAGAACTGGAGTAGGAACCTTGGCAGCAAAAAGCATTCTGATGTATGAAAACAGCAGTTAGGATTAGCAAAGGGAGGAAGAAGTGAGACGGTAGAAAAAGTGGAAAAAGAGGGGCCCCTTTGTCTGTCTGTTACATCCAGAAAGTAACAGAAAAGTCCTCATATGTGTAAACTTACTTGGCAATAAACCCGATTCTGATTCTATTGCAAAGGATCTTCCAAAGTTTCTCTGTGAGCAACAAGACTATTTTAATCATTAAACACACTGAAGCTGATAATACTGTAACATTTCAGATCACTTAATAGGTTCATTAACATTCAACATTTAAACCAGTCCCATGCCCTTAAAATGTCCAGTGAGATTTTCCCCTCTTTTTGGGTTGGAAAATCTGACCTCAACAGGCATAATATCTAAGCCTTACATGCACTTTGGCATACCATTGTAATTATAGTGGATGTGTAGGCTGACTGTCTGTGTGAATATAGTATATACATTGTTCATTAATCATACCATTGGCTCTCCATACAAGGCTTTGGAGAGGATGCTGACCACCTCTTGCAAGCTGCTATCCAACAGCATGGAGCGCAAGCTGGCCTGTAGCGAACCATCTCCCCTGGCAATCTCTTCTGCTAGGACTAGAACGGGATGAACAAAGAGGCAACAGGTAGGGAGAGAAATTATTCAGTACATTCAGTGAGGTTTCTTCCAATACATGCAATAAGTCATTTCCATAGTCTGTTCCCTAGAACATTATAGTTTTGTGTGAATACAAGGAAAATGTGAAATGTGAATCTTAAATATTTTATTTTAGCTGATGGTGAGTATATTGTAGCACACCCTAATGCTACATCAGGCTCACCGCAGTTAGGAAACCCATGTCAACACGTGACCCTAGACATTACCTGGCTTTTGTCCAGAAATGACTGACCCCAACATTTATTTGCTCTCAGCTCTGACCTGAAGTAATGACATCACAATAGACACAAAGCAAACAGCTTGGATTCTGCAAAGACAGCAGCCCAAAGATTTCTGCTACACTGAGACCAGGGCATGTTACAATTTGGTGCTTCCAACAACCGGTGTTGACCCTGCCAGCACACTTTGTTTTTTTTTGTTTTATACCAAGTGACAGACAGACTACTGTATACAGTATCGGCAGATGGTTCCAATTTGAATTGCTACTCACCATGTTTGCAGTCTTCATCTGCTTCATCATAGTTTTTCTGTTGGCAGAAGGAGAACAGAAGTAGAACAGTGGTAGCCATAACAAATGGGAATACTTTGTGTCTGAGGGTCAGAGCTTCACATAAGCTCAAAGAATGGCTATCTTTGCCTCACAGCGGAGTCCCTCACACTATCATTATAGGACTTAAGAAGTTTCCATAATCTTAGGGCTTAAGTAACTGGTGTAATTTTAGTGCTGTGGGAAAATAACATAACAGTACTATGGAGGACAAAAGTAGGGTTTATTGTTCTTATTTCTAACCTTCTCTTTGTGGTAATTTACCCAGTGATTAAAAGTACACAATAACCGGCCTACATAATATCAGTGTAATGTATTTATTTAGGGATAGAAAAAAAATTCTATTCCATTTGGTGATATAATGCTTCATATTCTCAGAAAGGAAGGTATCGCTCCCTCACCCTGGCATTACTGTGATATATTGGGATAATACAAATGTAAAGAATTCGGGGGCACAAAGCAAGTTGTTTGGAGGGAAGACAGTGATCAACTTAGACTATAGGTTGCATGTGTTAGGGCAGCAACTATGCTTAGGCAGCCACTGTCCTTACCAACTGCAGGAAGGCAGCAATTCGGTAGAGCAGGACACGGCTGCGGAGGGGTCCGGTGGCGACAACATGGGATGGAGGGCTCGGCGGGACAGGGGCACCGGAAGATTGGGCTTGGGGTGCAAGGACCACCAGGGCATCCGTGCTGTGGCTGACTGCCGCCTCGTACTCCCGCCTGACTAACGATCTGCTTGCTTCTTCACATGACTTCTCCGCTCTCCTGTCCGCCATGACTCAGGGACAAAACGTCTGGAAGCCAAAAAAGACAAGAGGAAAGACATAATATGATCTTTTCCCAAAGCAGGGGTGGGCAATATATTTCTCATCTTCAGGCCACTGCCACTTAACTAAAGTGACAAAATCTGGCTATAGGCAAAGGTATTGGGTGAAGGCTTACAAATCTGCAGTTTAGCAATGTGTTCGAATCCCTTTAAATGGAAGATATATCTATGATGCCCTTTTACAACAGTGATTGTTTTAACTGACTGAAAACTAAAAAGGTACACCCATCCTTAGACACTGCTTCATTTAGCTATATTAAGAACATATTAATGTTAGTGTGTATTCAGATAGTTGGTTACCTCAAGCATGAGCTTGAAGCAAGGGAGGACTTGCAAAAAGAGAAAATTGTGTGACCATCATACTGATTATTTGTATACATATTTACATATCAGGTTGTACTCTTGGTGAAAATGCATCCTTATTTGTTTGATACACTTTCCAGCTTGACATGTAACAGGAAGTTTATACCATCATTTTGTCATTTTTGTAAACTGTATTTTTTTATTCTTTTTTTGGATGACCTGTAAGTGTTTATTCAGGTTTAGAGCGGCTTATCCTACGGTGGAGTGGGCTATGTAGAACAAAAAAACAACAAAAGTCTTTGATCATGAAAGGGTTTTCTTGGCCGCACAAAATGATACAATATATGCACAAATCAGAATGCTTGAATGAATGCAACCGCAGGACGTTTTAATTTGTTATTGTGCAAACTAAAACATAGTAAAAACAGAACTTAAAAATAAAAAAGATATGCCAATACTATGAAAAAGGAAATTAAAACCAGGGAACCGGTTTACCCTGTATATCGGCCAGCAATATTATGAACTTATAATTTCTACATTTCCCCCAGCAGAGCCAGAGAGTAAAATACTGAGAGAAGGGGAGAGCAGAAAAATACAGAGAGGACTCTATTTCTATCTTGGGAGTGGTGGATCATTTGTTGACACTTGCTCTCCCAGTTTAAAACGTCACAAGTTGTACAGCTGACAGCCAAACTTTCTTCCACTCCAAATAATAGAAATTCACAGATGGTCAAAAGGAAATTACATATGGAATATGTCCGGGCCATGGAGGTACAGCAAGACATGTTTCCCTCCATGCAAGAGCAAGAAATGACTTGAGTCCACGTGCAATGCAAGTCAGAATGGTTCTTGTGTTATATATAGTACATCTGAAAGTTTTAATGTCATAAACAAACCTTACTGCCATCCCAAATGCCACCAGTCACTTTAGTGTAAACGTCACTCTGACGCTTAAAACGAAAGTCACTATATGAGTCAGCCAGAACCAAGTCAGACTTGCGTCAAATATAATTTGTTAATGCTTCTTCAGAGTCCCTGCAGAACATTCAGGAAACAAGATGAAAAGGGATTTTCCTCCCAGCTAGTTATTTCATCTGTACACATTTACCTTTATAACATGTACCCCACATTATCAAATATTATGTTATTAATCATTTTGTATCTAAAACCAAGCACAATGTTTCATATTAGGTGCACACTCAAAATACTTTCAGGATAAAAACACTTAATTGTTCGAGCTTTTCAGATCTGACAACCTGCAGCATTTCTGTCTTATACTGTAGATTAAATATCTTTGGGATAGAAATTTAGAGACTTTATACTCAGCTCTGAGAAACATTCCTTGTTTTTACCCTAAGAAAACAGTGTTTTGTGGCTGGTAGCATGCAATGTGGACGTCTGCTTACCAAGAGTAGTGGTGGTTCTGTATCATAAATCAACAGGAAGAGAGGATGAGCCTTCTAAGAGTGGCTCCTACATCCCTTATATGCTGGGCCCCGGCTCACACAGTGTACATTAAAATACATCACCTATCTGGCAAATCAGTGGTCATATGAGAAGCCTAAAGCATAATGTCAGACACTTTTTTTATAATCTCAAGTTCCAGAGCACACAACAACAGTGGAGTCAACTGTCTGGCATCATCTGACTGCTTAGACTAAGGGCATCATCACAATTGATCATGCAGAATAGAATGGCTTTATTGAATCTAGACAGTATAAAGAAGGAAATGGGAGTGACACTTGACGCCATAGAGCCTTGGTCAACTCCAACTATGTGCCAATGGGAACACATGGTAAATCTCTACTACGGACGGAAATTCAGAGCATCTAGTTTACGCTCCACACTGCCCCTATAGTTGGGATAATGCATCCACACATGCACTGAGGAGACTGGGAAACAATATGCTACACTTAGTGACAGATGCAGTCAATCAACTACTGTCAAAACAGAGCAAAGGCTCGGCTAAAGACATCAGACACACATCAATCAACATGTTTTGACAATGTTCGCAGAGCAACTATGTTGGACCAGCAGCCTCCTCTGGACTGCACCTGCCGTCAACTTCTTATTAGAGCTCTGTGCAAGTGGGTTTGTTTTTTGTTTTTTTTTTTCAAATAAGTGTGTGTCACTAATAAATGTACACACACACACACACACACACACACTCGTATTCAGGTGTAAGAGCTACTAGTGTTGTGTTCTGTGTGGATGAGGAGGCTGTGTGTGGCTGTAGGTGGTGGTGGGAGGCTACTTTACTGCGCATTAAGGTACAAGGGACTACATTTGTTTGGTAGAAAACCATGCGATTATCTCTGTTTTCACCCATCATAATACAGTTACAACACACAGAACAGCCTCCACTGAAAATCAACCTTACGGAAAGTCAATAATTGCAGTATGTCTGGGAATTAGTATCCCACAATAACCACGATTACTGCCAGAAAGTATTTTGAAGTTCATATATGTAACATTCTAAGCATACGAATGTGCAACAAAAAAGTATGCCCCAAAGTGTTCAATAAGTAGTATCTTTATCTCATCCTGAAGCAGCCCTAAATAGGTGTGTGGAGGAATCCAGCCTACTAAGCATCGCACATGGTCTCTTGTTCAATAGTTGTTAGTTCAATAGCTGGAAATTCAATTTCCTTGCGGGAGTCATCCCAAAAGGATCAATAAAGAGAAGTCTAAGTCTAGTCTAGTCTAAGTTGAAGTTACTGCAGAAACCTGTGTTCACCCCTTCATACCGAAGGCAAGCAACGTCTGACCCATGTTGAACCCTGGTTGAAAGAAGGATCATGAAGCCTGGCCAAAAAACATTTGATAACCAATAAGCAGGTTTATCCCAGGTCACTGCTTTGGTCTGAAAGGGGAAGGCTTTCCCTTTTTCCTTAATACTGAGCTTTGGGAAAACGCAGCATTTCATGAATGCCTAGCCAAACAACAAAAAAGCAGCAGGGCAGCAGCCTGACAATCTCAACCTCATTGTGAGATTACAAGAAGCGACGTGCCCTCCTTCACGCCAACCAGACCAGGATGGGATGGTACACCATGACCTGCTGGGGAACACCGGGGCATCAAAAGCTCAACCTTGGCCGATAGCCTAGAAACTTTTGGTCCTATTTTCACCTTGCTGGTTTCATCAAATGCACTGCAGCTTATCTCAGGCTGCCACAAAAACACGTGATCACAAACATACTGCCCAAAAAGCCCTGTTACAGTTTATGTGCATTGTGTGCAAAGGTGGCTAACAAAACAAACTTCTGGTTGCTAATTCAAATTCCCCAACAATTAGCTGATGCTGAATTTCCACCCGGGCCCTCACCACACCACCTCCCCATCTTTTGATTATGGCTCAAAAACAGGGAAATGATGGCCTATGGCCCAGCCATTTTGGGTACATTTGTGACAGCTAGTCCTTGAAAGTGAGACATCAAACAACTACTGTATGTTAAAGCCGCATTGACAGTATAAAGGAAGCACCAAACAACAGATTAGGTCACATCCTGAAAGAAAACTGGCTTTTAAGTATCATAACTGACTGTGCGAGAAGAGGGAAACCACTGAGTACATCTGCCACTTTAAATTAATTTTGCAATAAGGAGCATATTAACGCTGCAGTAACGGTTTCAGATAGTTACTTCTTGAATACTCAGCAACAGGCAACTATGCTTGCAACAGCTGCTCGAGCCCAACTGCCAGTGCCTGAGTCAGTCTGTTCTTGTCTCTTAGGACCATAGCATACAGGCAAACATCTCCAGCTAATGCTCAGTGCATGTTGGGTGCACACATGACACAGACTAAATCATCTGTAGTTCATGTTGGTGTAGGTTTTAACTGCTTTGATTGCACTCGGGATTAACACCGAGACAAACTAAAACGAAATACAATATTGGCACCAAATGCAGTGTGTTTTCCCCACCTGAAATCCAGTGTTGCACACCTGCCTCCATCTCCTCAGACACTACAAGAGTTTGTACAAAGTGAGCACAGATAAAGTGAGCGTGGTGCACGTCATGTACGGTATCTGATCAAATATTACTGCTCTTCTTCAATAATCTCATCTTTTACCCCCAAGAAAAAAAAAAAGAAAAGTGAACTGCTGTGGAGCTCACTTCCTCTAAAATTTCAAACCTTCAGATGAGGAACGATACTATATATTTTGGGCTGTGTAACAACGTATGCTTCTATACTATGTACATATGGCAACTGGCCAATTATGACGAATGATGTTGCAGCGCCCGTCATACCCTGAGGTAACATATAGCTCCTCTAAAGCACTGAAACAGGAAAGACTAACCCAGCCCCGGCCCCCACAAGACAGGCTCGAGTTAATAAAGGGATGTGCATTTAGACTGAACTTGACTGGTGTCAAACCTGAAACATAAGACTCAGACTGTATATTTTACAACATTAAAGGACAACATATAATCATCATAATTCAAATAGCAATTGGTGTGGCATGCAAAATAAGGGCTGAAAGTTGCTTGGGCCAGCAGACAAGGTCTGTTGCTGTAAAATAGAAAAGATGGTCAAAGATGAAAGCAGACACATGACTGATCTTACCACAGAACTTACTACAATTAAGAGAGGTTACTAAAACCGCTGCAGCGCTTTACACCCTTTGTTGTACCTAATGTTGGTGCAGCCACTTTATAGGGGGCAACAACAGCTCGTTTGGCGGGATACAGTGGAAGGACGGCCACCTGACTTGTTTTTAGTGTCCAGTCGTGGGATCCCACTCCACAGGCTGTGGCTTCGACTGCTGTACAGTGGAGGAGAAAGCTCATTTTATAGCTGGGGATAGCTGTAGAAGAACATCGACTGCTTTCATCCTCACACAACGTTATTTGGCTTGACAGTATCGCTAGCAGCAATGTGTAGAAAACACGGCTATAAAACTTGGAAATTTCTCGGACCCCAGTTAGTAGATAACAGGAGAGCTTACAACAATAAACAAAAACGTTGGGGGCGACTTGTTTCGTCTTTCAGCATGTAGTTCTCGCTGTTGTTTGTCTGCTAAACTTGTCATGGCTGTTGCAAGTCAGAGCGATGACGGCAGCGTCACAAAGCCCTGAAAAATGTCCCCACAGTGGTTCACTTACCGTCCAGGTTCACACAGGGCACACACTGGTGCCACTAACCACAGTATGCGTAGCTAACTGTTAGCGTGCTAGCCCAAACACGGCCTTTCTTGGCACCAAACTCAAGCTCACAACAAGAATAGCTGGCTAGTTTGTTAATGGTAGCAGGCGAGCTAACTAGCTAGCTAGCTAGGTTCGCCGAAACAAAACGGGCTCGGGCCTGTGATTTTGCCACGGCGTTTAGGCGCATATAATAGATGTGACATTGTGTTGTTAGTCGTGCATGAACTCAAAGCATCCGTCATTACTCTACTGGTTTATGGGGAGAATTCGTGGCAGTGGCTTGGCGATTAAAAAGACAACTGAAAGGGCTGAAAATGGGAAGTCAACACTTACCTAGCTTTACTTTCTACGCCATCTTGGATCCACTTGTCAGACCATCGCAAAGCATAGTGGGATGTACTGATCTGAAGGTTGAGAGAGAGGACTGCTGTGTGAGTGTGTGTGTGTGGCCTCTGATGGCAACGATATGCCTTGTCAAAAAGCGTTTTTCTTAAAATGCTGTTGATTTTAAATAATTTCAGCCTTATCATTTTAGGATTACTATTTATTGTACGTCCCAATTAAATTACTCTTGAATTTAAGAGAAAAAAAATAGAGGTTCAAATGTGACATTTTAGATGTGGCCACATTCTCTACAACTGGGACAAAAGAAAAAAAAAGTAACTTAAAAGGTACATTTTACTTGTTTATTTGTATAAACGGCATAAAAAACACAATGTGACATTTTGTTCTGAACACAATTTGCAGCACAGATACTTTGTCTTATGTTGCCATGAGAACTTCAAAATTTGCAAATCATGTTCTTTGTTTCCATTTCAGAAATATGTTGATATATGCACATATCAAGAGAGCAGTCCTCCAACCCTACAGATCAAAAGGGGACCTGGTAATGCCTAATTTTTGGCCATATTACTGGCCCTGCAACAGTAAAATAACATTGGACAAACACCCCCAAAGGGCTCTGATGGAAATTTCCTCTTCTTGTATCTCATTTTGGTCAGTGGTTTGCTCCCTGTTGCCTCCCTAAGGACCATCTGGGACCAGGACCAATGGGGACACATATTAGACCACGTACACACCTCCTCGATATGTGCCAGGAACAGTCCAATTGCGTTGTGAAGTTTTGCATCCATTTCACCAACGCAAGCTTATCCAAGATCTACCCAGACAGAAGTGATAAATGTAACAGATTCCTCCGCACTCACCCATAATAGATGGATTCAGGAGATAGTGCAGTGCATCAGGCTCAAGAGGATCAGGTTCTCTCTAAAAGTTTCCCTAAAGGCATTCCACAAAACCTGTCAACCCCCTGATTATCAACAAAGAATTAACAAACAACTGAGCTTACACCTGCCCTTAATGAGTTGATTTTCTTGCATTTTTTATTTTATTTTATTTTTCCTTGTTAGTGCAGGATTTATTTTTCGTCCCTCCCACTATTTCTTTAAACCTTTTTGAAAGTACATTTTTGTCTTTATTTGATAGTACACTATAGAGAATGTGGAGAAAGGGTAATGGCATGCGACAATGATCCTTGGTCAGTCTTGAAGAATAGACATTGTGCCTTCTACACTACTTAATAAATCCCAAAATACAAGCAGTAAAAAATAAATGAATACATTAATGAGCTATGAGATTATATGCATTGTTGAGATCTGAAAATAAATCCATGAGGTATTGATATCATCAGAAATGTGGCTCAGGTTGTATATATTTTAAACAGCATTGTCCTGCCACACTATGCTGTATTTGAAGTTCTCCATGCAAAGAAAATGTATCACATTGGCAAATTTGGTTTCATATTTGCTTCAGACAACTTTATGTCATGGCAAAGCACACTCTACTGTACTATATTTCCTTTCCCAGCGCATCCTGCAGCCACCTTAGTAGACCCTGCTTCTATTGGAGGTGACCTCCAGGAGATTGAGAGGTGAGACATTAGTGAGGCTTGAGACTTGTGACTGATTTTGATGGCATTAGACTTACCTCGCCTCTGATGGCCAGTTATGGACACTGTGCAACAATTTGCTTCTGAATGAACAATCAATGTAAGTCAGAAACATGTATACCCATAGAGCCTGCTGCTCATCAGCACCCACGATCTATAGCACTCACAGTGATACTAACCGTACACATACTCACACTCCGACCGCACAGCCAGTTGTAGCAATTTGGGGCCCAAGGCCACTTCAACTAGACTGGGGGAGCCGGGAATAAAAACAGCAACCCTCTGATTTCTAGACAACCCGCTTTACCACCTGAGCCTCAGCTGGGATTAGCTATTCTAGAGAACTACACTGTGAACAGCAGTGCTATCAAAGCGAACTATAGATCTAATAAGAATTTCAGGTGCCACCTGACTTGTAGTAGCTGCAAACTTGGAGAGGGACTATTAGTAATGCATGAGGTTAAGCATCATGTAGGGCTGTACAGTGTTAATGTGCAGATTGTGCCAAATGAAAGGTCAGGGTACAATATTGAGCCATTCTAATCTGCCAGAACACATGGATACGTAGATAAAAGTCTGCGGCTCTCTTCTGCATGTATGACCATTCTTCCATATTTCCTCATTTGGTGTTACGGTTGTGTGGAGTGCTGTCCAACTTCTGCAGATGTTGCACAGGGTTGACAGTTGGTGGCTGTGATTAAATTGCATTGGAATAACATCTTACATAGACTTGATTTACCATGTCAGTGCCTTTGTTACTTCTTTAAATGACACCACAGTGCCACTATTCTAAAACATTTCTTCTTCTGTAGTCATGTTTACAAGAACCTTAACATTTGTCATTTCACACCAGTCAACTTAAACACTGTATAAAACCTACATACAACTGTTAACCAAATGTGAGTTTATTGTTTACATTGCTAAGAATACATTTACAAGAGTTTTGAGCAATGTTCATACAGCAGCGTATGCTAACCTACTGTATATAAGCCATTATAGGGCAATGGGAACCATATCTGGAAATCCAGTCTCCTGTGACACTGACAGAGGGATGCGAAGAGGGGAGGAGCTCATGTGTTTATTGACAATACTTTACTAGATAGTAAAAAAAATGAACAAAGTTGGGGTGTTGTTTATGTGCTGTCGATGTTTCTCCATCCATATGACATTGGACTAACGCTGCCTTTACAGTCCCAACCCCACATACTGTATATTCAAAAACATTCCCACAAAAGGAAAAACAAATTTGAACCAAAACAAAATAATGCACTATGTTCTTGTTTCACTGCAGGTTGTGGATCATCTCCTCCTTGGCGATGAGATGCGTGGTCTTGTTGACCAGAGACATGAGAGAGTTGAGTTTGTGCGACCAGTCGTTGAGCAGGTCGTTGGGGTCTTTAGGCCTCTGAAAGTTGATGATGCCAGCCAGCCGGTCGACTTTGGCATAGATGGTCTTGTTTACAACTAGGCTGGAGAGGAACTCCTCGGATTCCTGACCAAATTTGAGCATACAGATATGTTAGTGTCTATCAAAGTTTTCTTCAGGGAGACCAAATCCTGATTCATTCATTTTCTTATCATCCAAAAGAAGTCATATTGGCTCAACAAAGATATTTTTCAAAAGAAATCTGTGATACGAGTTATCTCATTCTCACTTTTAGATGCAACTTGTTATCCTCTATGTACTTCTTCAAGTAAATAGTGATTTCATACGTGGAGCAGGGGTCAGCAACCTTAGGCACGGGGTAGCTTAACCAATGGCACACTAGCAATAAGTGTGCAAGAGAGTTGTGTCCCCTCATCTTACAGCCAGTGGCAGTCGCACTCCCGGTCTTATTAAAGCAGCTCATGGCTATATATAATTTCAACTCAGATGTGGATATTTTCATAATGACGAGAGCCTTCTCTTGTATACAATTACAAAGTCTTGATTATGGGAGAAAAAAAGTTAGGCTATGCACATTGCCTACATGGATGAAATAGAATTACCGGTCCATTGGAGATTTCGATTTTTATGTTTAAAGATGGCACTTTCATTTCAAAGAGGTTGCCAACCCCTTAGGTAGAGAATGCAATAGCCAACAAGACACTTCTGAATTTATGATTTTCAGGGTCTATTTTAGTCATGCCATGGCCTACTGTAGAAAATAGAATTTGTCAATGACCCATAATTACACGCTTAATCAGAACTGATCTCTCTTTGCATACATCTTGGACTGAAAATGCTGTAACATTTGAACGGAAAAACAGAGGCTAACAAATGATGTTAATCTAACAGCCAAATAAGGTTTTTTTTCGTGTGCTGTCAATGTGAGTTTCAGTCTTGTATGAGCTAATAGTAAAAAACTGTGCTTACGTCAATAGAGAGGTCAAGGAGTCCGGCCATCCTCTTCATTGTGATTCTGGTGTAGTATTTGGCCATTATTCGGATGTTCTGGGGGAACGGGCAGAATTTCATTAATGTACATATCTGCAGCAGAATATTTGCATACATTATTTAAGATTAGAACAGGAGAGCTTTCAGGTCACATCAACTCTCGCCGGAAAAAAAACAAACAAATTGACACAGTTCTACTTTGACAGTCAATGTGGATGTAGTGTCAAGATTTACCACCAATGCTCACCACTTAGGAACCTAGGATAAGTTGTGAGTGTGCCAGCCTAGGTTAGCAAGCTAAAATGCAGTTGAAATGGTGTTAGAAAATGTGTCTGATTAGATGGCTCCCTGCTGTCACATATCAACAAATTCTCATGAAACCCATCTGCACCTGACTGTGGGACTTACATGTTCCACCACTCTGTTCTTGAGGTCCTTCCACCTTTTCTCCCCATCCTCTGAATAAGAGAAGACATCTGTGGCAGGGCTGTCAGGTGAGCCCTCCCTCAGCTCCTTCCCATAATCCTCCACCAGGGAGGCCCAGCGCATCAGCTCCATAGTGGTGAACTGTTTCAGAAGGTCCCTAGGAATGGTGGAGGAAGATAGTGAAAATTCCCCTGTGTTCACACCTTGCAGTACAGTGAATGAACAGGATGTCAGTATATGTGAAAGTTGCTATGATCATTTCCCCTGAGCGACAAACACACAACAGCGTCTGGTTTCTGCTCTCCACAGATAAGTGATAACTCTCCAGTCGTGCATGATTTAATATTGTTGGAGTTATGGATGCTTGCTAGTCGTCTGTTGTCTCTTAGCATTCTACAGCTAACTTGTTATCTAACACTTGTGTTAAATGCCACATTGCTAACTTAGCAAGCATTCATAACTCATATAAACATAAACATATTTATTAACGCAGAACAAAAGTCATAACCTTCGAGAGCAGTTAACGGATGCCGGGGAGCTGTTTGACGTACGTTCTCTCCACATGCTCTAATTCGTAACTTCAGAGACGTATATGTAGATGTAGCGCAGTGGAAAGCTATGTATGTTAGTATGTTGTACAGTTGATTGTTGATTGTTGATTGAGATGGACTTTACATTTTTAAAGATATAGTTTTGTTTTTCTCCCGGTATCACATTCATAGTAGCAAAATGCTTTAGCGTAGTGCTGTAATTACATATGCTCAAAAAATTGGACCTACCAATGTCTGAGGCCTGTTAGCTGTATTTACTGTGAAACCAAAAAGCAGAGGAGGACAAAGTAAGTCTTACTTGTATTTAGGGATTTCTTCCAGTTTCTTGTCCGCACTGATTCTGTGCACAAGGTCTGACTGCTCATTGTCGTAAGGGGAAAGAATCACATAGAGCACCACACTCTTCAGGGCCTGGAATACAAATTCAAACAAACAATTCCCATTAAAATCATTGTTTGTGCAAACTTCTAGATTCCAGTACCAACACTGAAGGCTACTAAAGAACAGTGTTTATGCTAAATAAGTCTAAGACAGTAGATGGTTGGTACAATAATACAATATAGTGAGCTACTGTATGTCCAAATATATAACCAGTGTGAATGATGCATTTGTTGTGTCCAAAATGTGGACGCTAAATAAATATACATGTACAGCAGTAGATTTAAGACAAAACATTTGGCTTTCAAAGCTGCCTATGTATTTAACTGTATTCATGACGTTAAAAATGTAGTGTGGCCTTGTACCTGTTGCCACTTGCTGCTGTCCTCCAAGATGCACGGGGTGTCGTAGATGGCCCGATAGTGTTTGCAGATAGACAGGTAGGAGCCCTCGTGCAGGTCCACCTGGATCATGAGGTTGTAGTATTTCAGCTTCGATTCCTGAGTTGTTCATTACACAAAAGGGATGAGTTAGTGTCCGGTTACATCAAGAATTATGCAACAGCATCCAAAACCATGCTGCAAAAGCAAACACACAGGCCAGTCATCAAATGCTGTTCATCATCAGTGGTTGTCAAGCCAACTCAGACACTGCAGTATTTCATTACCGCTCAGTTCCTGGCTCTTTCTTACCTCAGTGCCAGCCTCTTGGAAGAATTTGGTGTTTATCTTCTTGCTGATGATCTGGGTGCGAATGTAATCCTTGACAGCAATGCAAAGCCTCATCTGTTCCAAGATGAACTCCACCTTCTCCTTTTTCTCCATGGAGCCATACGTCTCCACCTGAGCAGGAAAAAAATATTTAAAGCACTGAAACTTTTCCGCACACTTACTTATTTTCCCCCTACATAAATGTGGTGACAGAAACTTTTTCAAACATGGATGTATCCCCATTTGTCCCCACAACAACTGTACAGAAAAATAAAGGTGATGAGTCTCTTACCTGCAGTTCCTGAAGAATGGAAGCTGCCTCTTTGACCTCTCCGCTCTGCTCCTTGATATTGGCTAAGGTCTTTGTCAGCCTGGCACGCTCAATCTCTACATAGATCTGTGAGGAGGACATGTTTGGTTTATCAGCAAGGAGGAGGGGGCTTATGTCTTGAGTGGAAAGGTCAGCTATTCATCATCACAACCTATTCTTCATATACATGACCACCCTTTAAATGAGACCCTTACAAATTCTGTAAAAACTTGAGTAAATGCCATTGTTTGATTTAGTGCATGTGTGTCTGATAATACACACATCTCTGGGAGCCTCTTCCAAGCTCCCACCATCAGTCACAGAGTGGTGTACAGTATATAGTACCTTATATAGCACCTTATATTTTTACTTTGCACTACAATTATACTGCTTATTTATACATTTTTATACATTTTTCATATTGCATTGCAACAATAAGCAATAATATTGCTTTTTGATATGTCTAGGTAGGTATCAATAAAGTATATCTATCCATCTATCTATCTAATTTGACAGCTGTTCAAAAAATATACACAACCCCTCCTTTTGTCTCTCGTATTCAAGTCATGTTAACACACATAAACACATTCCAGACCTTGCCAGCAGTTACAGTGCGAAGTGTGTCGATGAGTCTCAGCTTGATGGTCAGATCAGTCACAGCATCCACATACTTGTAACATTCCTGCACCATCTTTGCAACAGCCTGATAAAGAGAGAGAGCAAAACAAAAGTCTTACTAAGAGCTTGACGAAGAATGGCTGCAAGGTGTATTTGCAAACTGTGCGACTTGTATATGTTTGGACACAACTGGTAGAAAAAAGCCATCAAAAAAGAAAACTGTATCTGACCTGTTTCAGCTGACTCCTCCTTTTGGTGAGCAACATGATGTTTTCATTCAGAGCATCCCAGTCTTTGGCCTCATAACACATCTGGACCACAGCCACAAGGATTCTGGAGGTAGACACCATGTCTGATGCCTGAGCAAGGGTTAAAAGCAAATAAGTAAAACAAGGACCAAAATATACACATATCTCAGTAAATCGATCACCTTTTAATGTCACTAATGTTAATGTTAAAAATATCACTACTTGTAAATCTTCGAGCTCAATTTATTCAGGGGAATTCTACTATAGGCTGATACTGCTTGTCATTTTTGATCAAAGTATAACAATAAGGCATTGTACTGTGTTTTGGAGTGAGCAATGCCAATCAATGTAATTTTGACATTGACATTTGGGGCTTAACTTCAGAGATGTAGGACCTTCCACGGCCGAATGAAAGGAAAGTAAACAGGTTAGCTCTTCTACTGCTCAGAGACACTTACCGTTCTGGTTTGTTTCTCCAATGACAACAAGCTCTCAATTGCCTCCTGCAGCTTGCCCTCCTGTAGGAGAAAAACACACATATCTAGCGTCAGTTACACTAACTAACGTCATTTAGACACACGGTGATAACGTCTGTATTTAGACTTACATCATTTACAACATTAAAGGAACTTTACCTAGCCAACGTTACCAGGTTAGCGTTAGCTCAAGATGCTGCCACTGACTACAGCGACAGGGCTGCTAGCGAGCTTAAACAACAAACACAACCGTGTACGGGAGGATAAAAGGGTAACAGGCGTGTGTGAGACTTTAAAATACAGCAACATTTATAAGTAATTCGCGGTCAGTGTATTTTTTTTTTATATAAAGGTTTCCGGTTAGTGCTAAAGAAAGGCGATGTTAGCCTGGATGCTAACACAGTGACAGTGAAGCACCATGACTCAGCCGGCCTCTTTCATTCTCCGCTTACTTTAGCCATTTTCTCGCACTCAGGAAGACGCTGGTCCACAGTGGAAGTGTAGTCGACCTCCATCTTCACAATCTTCCCATCGGATCGTTCTGCTCGCTCATCAGACATCTCTGCGGTGTTACAGGTGGAGATAATGTACAGTACTTTATGTGTCCGGCGACCAAACTCAGCCTGCTGCTATTCTGCTGGTCAACTATACGAAGCGGGAGCTAACCAATCAGAGGAGGGAGTCACACCGCTGTCCGAGGCGCCTGAAGGACCCAGTGAGGACCCCGCGGAATATTTCAGGCAGGCGTTATAAAATCCTACTTTTTGTTGTGACACTGAAAATGATTATGAAATACTTTAATTCCCCCCCCCTCATACCACCTGAGTCTACCACTGACAGAAGAAATGATTTATGATTTTGTTATATAGACTGTATTTCATGTAGCCTATATATAGCCGATAAATAATAATATGTCTATTGCACTATTACTATTGGCTGCTATTTACTATTTACTGTTTCACTTTTCTTTTTTGCACTACCATAAGTATTGTTGCACACCATAAGTATTGTATATTGTATATTTTATATTATTGTATATTTTATATTTTATTGTCTATCTTTTTTTTTATCTTTTAGCATTAGAAAATGTCTTGTCTGTTGTGTAATTGA